CCTGATCTAATCAGGAAATACTGAGCTCTAGCACTCAAGGAACCGAAGGCAAAATCTGTGTGTATCACTAGATTCCAGTTTGCAAAGAAGTCTCTCCCAGCCAGATAGAAGTCTTTCTAAACATGAGACTTATAGGCTGTATGTTAGATAAATTATATGCAGAGAAATGGAATTGCAAGCAGTGCATAGGAAGGGTTTTAAAAGAGGAACATGATGCCAATAGTTCACATCACAAGTCACTGGACTTACATGCAACTTAATCCCAATTAATGTGAAATTTTGTAGAAATGTAGTTTACAGACATTATATTAATATATAAAATGTATATAAATATATTTATAAAAATATAAAAATGTGTTAGTAATATGTAGCATACTAATTTATTCTTTTGTATTATTTCCATTTCATTTCTTTTTATTAGTTCATATTAATTATATAGAATAGTGGTTTTGGGGTTATTTTTAGTGGTTTTTGTTTTGACACAGTCATTTCATGCATGTGATATACTTTCGATCATTGCCCTACCACCTTCCTCCTGTCCCTGGGCCTGCTTCATCTTCTCTGATAGTCTCCCTTCTACTTTCAGGTCATCTCTGTTTTCCTAGATTCCTCATTTGAGAGGAACCATGTGGTATTTAACTTTCTCAGTTTGGCTTATTTCACATAACTTTATGGTCTCTAGCTCTATCCATTTTCATGCAAATGACATGATTTTATGTTTTATGACTCAATAGTAATATTTTATCACATAAATATCACAGATTTTTGTTTCTTTGGAGGGGTTGGGGGGATTGAACCTAATGCCTTCACACTGAGCTACATCCCCAGCAATTTTTTGTTTTTTATTTTGAGAGAGTCTTGCTAAGTGGCCCAGGCTGAATTCAGACTTGTCATCCTCTTTCCCCAGTATCCCAGAGCGCTGGGATTGCAGGATTATATACCACATTTTTCTTTATCTATTCATTTGTTGATAGGCACCCAGGCTGCTGTCGTACCTTAGTGAATTAGAGTCAGGTGAGCATTCTATTTCAATATAACAGGGCAAGACTTTTAGGGACATTTTGAAAGCAGGAGTCTAGGTAAGTGATCCTGTTGGAAAATGGGATTTTTAAAAAAATTTGATACTGGTCCATTTCCAAGGCCACTGAGGAAGGAAGAATTGATCCTAAGGCATGAGGTACACTAGGAAAGAAAAATGAGGCTCCTAAAGCCCTCCACCCATCCCTAATGGCACCTAATATCATATAATCTAATGTCATCCCCTCAGATCATGAGTATTGATTTTTAACATTTGTAAAAATTAAATCTTAGTTTTATGGTGTCCAAAGACTATTTTTGAATTTCATCCAATGATCAGCCCACTTTATACAAATTGTGAAATTTTTAGGTTCTAGACACCTGCCTACATCTTCTCCATGTTCACAATAATGAGTGGCATAAATTTATAAGAACCATCAAATTCTATCCAGAGTCAGTGTATCTGAATGGCAATTGCTAAAGCAGAAATGTTTTCTCACACTCCAACATATGAGGTGCCGAATGGAGACAGCAGTTCTCTCTGTACTGAAAGCAAAAGTGCTGTGGTGATAATGGTGACATTATTAGTGGTACAGTAGGTCAGGAGACAGCACTTAAGAGAAGAAGTAAATTTATAGACCTCAGTTGCCAGCCTTAAATGTATCTTGAGATTATTTTCTCTGGTTTTGAAAAATTCTAGTATCAGTGCCCCAAATCTACCATTTCAAATTATAAAATGCCATTAACTTTTAGCAAAGCTTCATGCAGCCTTCATCCTATCTTTTCCCTACCTATGGGGCCTCCTGTCCTTACAGGAGGAATCATAGGAGAAGATGCTTTTCAATTTGATGAAATCCCATTTATTGATTTTTGGTATTATTTCTGAGCAACTGAAGTTCTGTTCAGAAAGTCCTTGCCTATGCCTGTGGCTTCAGGTGTTTCCCTATATTATCTCCCAGTAGTTTCAAAGTTCCTGTTTTACGTCTATGTCTTTATCCATTCGATTTGATTTGGTACAGAGTGTGAAATATGAGCTTAGTTGCATCCTTCTGCAGGTTGATAACCAATTTTACCAGCACCATTTGTTAGAGGCTATCTTTTCTCCAGCATATGTTTGCAAAAATTATGAGAAATGGAAAAAATGGAAACAAAGACTTTGTAAATAGGGAAGGGTGGAGGGGGTGAAGGGAGGGCTGGGAATGGGGAAAAAGTAAGAACCAAGATGCATCATGTAAAGGTACAATTCCCAATGAGAAATGTAAATGTGTTGCATACCTACAATGTACCAAGAAAAGAATTTTTAAAAAATCAGATGGCTGAATGTACACGAGATTGTTTATGTGTCTTCTGTTTATTCTATTGATCCACATGTCCATTTTTTGGCCAGTATCATGCTGGTCTTTTTATTAGATCTTCGTAGTATACCTTGACAGGCAGAACTGTGATGCGTCCCACTTTGCTCTTTTTGCTCAGGATTGCTTTGGCTGTTCTGGGTCTCCTCTGGTTCCACATACATTTTAGGATTGTTTTTTCTAGTTCTGTGAAGAATGTTGTGGGTATTTTAATCGGGATTGAATTAAATCTTATGTTGTTTTCAGTAATATGACCATTTTAGTATGAATTTTACTTATTCAGGAGCATGAGATTTCTTTCTAATTTCTGAGGGTTTCTTCAATCCCTTTCTTTAGAGTTCTACAGTTTTCCTTATAAAAGTCTTTAGAAATCCTGGTTAGAATGATTCATAGGTATTTAATATTTTTGAAGCTATCATGAATGGAATTATTTTCTTGATTTCTCTTTTAGTGGATTCATTATTGGTGTACAGGAACATTATTGACTTTTTGTGTTGATTTTGTATCCTGCTACTTTGATTTATTGAATTTTGTTTACAAGTATCTTATTGAGGATTTTTGCATCTATGTTCATCCAGGATATTGGCCTGTAGTTCTATTTTATATTTTTAATCTTTCTCCAATTTTGTTAGCAGGGTAATGATGGCTTCATGAAAAGACTTTGAAAGCATTTCTTCTCTTTAAATTGTATGGAAAATTCTTACAAATAGTGGTGTCATTCCTTATCTAAATTTCTGGTAAAAACTGAGTGGTAGGTCCATTCGATCCGGGGCTCTTTTTAGTTGGTAGATATTTTTATTACTGTATTGTTTCATAGCCTATACTTCTTGGTTTGATTTTGGTAAGTTATATGTGTCTAGAAATTTATTCATTTCTTATAAATTCTCCAATTTATTGGGATATAAATCTTCAAAATAGTTTCTTACAATCTTTTGGATTTCAGTGGCGTCTGTTGTAATTTCACATTTTAAAATTTTTAATTATACTGATAAGGTTCTACTGTCTCATAGTAAGTTAGGCTAAGAATTTATTAATCTTATTTATCCATTTGAAAACCAACTTCTATCCATTAATCCTTTGTATTTTATTAATCTCAGTTTCGATTTTCACTTTACTTTTTATAATTTCTTTCCATTAGTTTTGCATTCTTGTTTTTCTAGAATTTTGAGATGCATTAATAGCTTCTTTACTTGTGATCACACTGTTTCTCTAATGTAGACACTCACAGCTACAAACTTCCTTTTTAGCATTGCTTTCATCTGTGTCATGATTTTGAGATGCTGTATTCTCATTGTTGTTTGCTTCTAGGAATTTTTTAATTTCTTCCCTAATTTCTTCTATGATCCATTGATCATTCAAGGATATATTATTCAAGTTCCATGTGTTTGAATAGTTTTGTGGTTTTCTCTGTTAATTCCTAATTCCATCCATTATAATCTGATAGGATGTGAGAGATTATTTCATTTCTTTTGTATTTATTGAGACATACTTTATGGCCTAAGATATGATCTATTTTTGAGAAAGTTCCAGAGGCTACTGAAATAAGTGGATACTGTGCTGATATTGGGTATACCACTTTGTAGATATTTGATAAATCCATTAGTTTTGTGGTGTGATTTAGCTCTGATATTTCTTTGTTGTTGTTATTGTTGTTGTTTTGGTCTGTCTGGCCTGTCTACTTGTGAGAGTGGAGTATAAAAGTCCCCCTCTATGATTATATTTTATGTCAAGTTGGTTTTGGTTTATGTACTTGGGTGTGCCAATATTTAGTGTATATATATTTGCAATTGTTATCTTTTCTTGGTGAATTATTGCCTGTACCATAATTCTATGTTTTCATTACTTTTCATTGGAAGTTGTATATTTATTATCTCTTAGATTTTGACCTAGAAATAATAGCTTAACTTTTAACTACTAATCAAAATGTCAAGGAATATGCCCTGTGGCCTCTGGACACTGATGCATTAATCTAAATTTTAGACTCTTCAACTTTTAAAATAATTACCAATCACATTTCATTTAAACAGGTTATAAATGGGTAGCCCAATAAAAATTAAAAACTAAATACACTTCTAGGTGAGGTCTGGTGGATCAAAATAACCGACCTCCTCATGTCACCTTTTATAATTTTAGGACATTTTGTATTCTGAAATGTTGTGTCTCATCATCAAATACAGTAATATGGGATAATGCTCATTTTATCTCCTTTTCCTCCTCCTGGTCCACATACCTTGGTCAAGTAATTTTTAATAAATGTGTATTTCACCCCAAATGGGTGATCTTTTCTTGACTGCTTCCAGGATAAGAATGAAAAAGGTAGAAACTAGATGGATCTATTTCCAAAATTTAAATTTTTACCCTGGCCTTTCCTGAGGAAAATGTGACTTTCTTTTTCCAAATAGCAAACATAAACAAGCCTGGTTCTTTGTTTGTTTGTTTGGTTGGTTGGTTTTTTTTTTTTTGTACCAGGGATTGAACTCAGGACCTTGTGCTTGCAAGGCAGGCCAGGCAGAGTGAGCTAAATCCCCACCCCAAACAAGCCTGGTTTTTATCCTGAGTGTTAGCCCTGCCAACAGGGCTCCTGCCTTCTCTTCCTGACTTTTTATTTCTCCTTTCTTTTCTGCCCAACAGGGTTGGGGGAGACAGCAGGAGTGAATCAAACAGGATTCACAGGCTGATGATCTTGCACGTCCAGGTAATACTCTAGCCCTTCTTCCTGCCCACAGTGCAGACTCCCAGCCATCTCTTATCTATGTTCCAGTAAGTGGGTGAGAAAAGAAACTACTTTCATGAGTTTCAGTTGACCCTCAACTTCAGACATGTTGTATACGCCCATCCACACAACTTCCTGTCCACTTGCCATAAAGGAATTCCTGAAGGTCACAGATTTACTTTTCCCAGTTCCTCCTGATCTTAATACTTGAGACAAAATCCTGCTAGTTCTCTATCCCTGGACTCTTTCAGGAGAGAGAGAGATAAGTTGAGGTTCTTGAGTGATCATCAGAGAAGATCTCAGAAGTAATCCACTGCCTTCAGGTTGAAGGATATAGGATTTGTAAATGGATGTCATCTTCTATCTCACTTGAATCCCTTTGAGTATTACAAAGTTGAATTTTGTGCTTCCTGGACGTTTTGTTGCTCCCAACATTCAATTCAAAAATAAGACCCATTCCAGGCACTATAAATCTTGTTAACAGAGTTCAAAGAAGGTAGAGGAATCCTAAGAAATCATAAGAATTGAGCATCAGAGGATGACAGGATTGAACACTGAAAACTAAAACCAAGCACATCGTGCAAAAAATAGGTCTGAAAAAAAAAACAGGTCTGAGTCTACCAAAAAGAAATATAAAACATGGTGATGGCCTTTCCAAGAGGAAGACACTGGTCAGGTGGGTCATGTCACTCAAAAACTCATAGAAGATGAACTCAGACGAACTCCTTGAAAAGGAGATTAAATGATGTTAGGGAATTTTCAGTAGTCAGTGCTGTTATGTTTAATTTTAACTTGATTCTGAGCCCCAGCGACCCATTCAGTAGTTGTTCATATTCAGTTAAGTGAAGGCTGCGCTCTGATGGGGTTAAAAACATAATATGTGAAGTCAAAAGGTGGCCTTATGAGAGGCCCTGGAAGGCCAAAGGCCTAGGATGGTCATTACTTTGAGGCTACCCCTTTCTGACTCTTAGAATTTTCATACATATGCTGGAGTTAGGAGGCTGTTAAGAAAAGGAAATGAGATGCAGTAGAAAAACATGCAGTTTTGCACTAAGCATGAACCACACAGTTTTAGAATCATCTGATATTGTCACCATGTTAATAAATATACACAGTGTAGTCAGTCACACAAATAGTGTGCTTGATCATGCATGCGATGCATCCAATATGTAGAGGCTATAAAATTCATTCTTATTTAAAAATAATTTTTTATATGTAGAACATTTGTAACTAAACACAGTGGGTTTGTCTCTCTGAGTGCAAAGCCAATTATCTCAACCAGGAAATAAAAGAGTGAAGGTTCATTACATGCAAAAATAAGGAGAACACTGGGGACAGTTCCCAAAACTGTGTGTTTCTTTGAGAGAAGAACATGAGGCAAGGGAATTGTATAGGGGAACTTATGCATATTCATAGCATTATAAGGAGATGATAATGAGCAAAGAAGAATGAGTCAGTGATTTTGGCTGACTTATTGTGGTTTTGTCTGGAGTGCCTTAACTGAAACAAATAAAGCAACTTAAAGAAATAGTAGCAGCAGTTTAAAGAGGTACCCGTTTCCTTCCCCATAAGCATAGGAGTTTGCCCCTAAAAGTTTCTGCTTAGAAGCTAACAAATGAGAAAAAACATCACCTTGGAAATATCTTTTCCCAGGTGTGTTGTGTTGACTCACCTGCACATCCAATGGAAAGAATATCGAAGTAAAGGAAAGAACATGCTGCAAGCATCCCATCCACAAAAGGTGGGGGTTTGGGTATTGTTTTCTAATAAAGTACATTTAGTAGTATGGTCAAGATCAGAAAGACGTTTGATCCTTGATTATATAATACATCATGTTTCTGTATGATTCCCTTCATGAAATATTTTCACTTCTTTATCTCAATGTTTTCTTTGCTATCTTTCATCTTTCTGGCTGGAATTTCTCTCATTAACTTAAAAACGTACCTTATCACCATTATCTCACATTTTAGCAAATATTTCCATATAGTCAATACTCATTGTTAAGCTAACAATACTCATTGTTTTGTTGTTATGTTTTATTTTATTTGTCCTTCTGCAGAAACATCTTTTATGTTCCAAGTCTCATTTGTTATCAACCAGTAGATAGGCAGTGTGCTCATTTTATTTACTCTTAAAATCTGCTCCTTTCTGAAGTTGGCTGTGGCTGCAAAGGATTCCATTTCTGTAATAGAGATGACTCAGGGGATCTTTTCCCTGCTTTGGAAGTAGTTAGCTCAAATTTTAGTCTGGTCCTCCTGCCCAGCCTCATCTAAGATAATGCCCTACACTTTCTCTCCATTTAGCACTACCTTCTATAGCTGTCTTCTCAGCAGGCTCACAGTCCACCTCAAACTCATCATACATGAACTGCCGAGTCAAAGAAGACTTGCCCACCCTATTGTGCCCACCATGATGACTTTGCTCCAGGCCAGACAATTCTAACCCTTAGGCTTTTTGTGGCTGTCTTGTGTCACTGAGTTTTCACCAGAGGATTAAGAAGACATGGCACTGCTGGCCGGTTCACTGCCCCGTGTGTTTCCAAAGCCACAGCTGAGAAAATCCACTTAAAGGAAGAAATTTTGGGCTCATGCTTTCAGAGATTTGAGTTGGCTCTGGAGAGACAGCACATCACTGTGAAAGTGCATATTGGTGAACAACTGCTCACCTCGTGGCAGCCAGAACGCAAAGGGAACACAAAGGATTGTGACAAAATAAACACCTGAAGCCGTGCCGCCAGTATCTATTCCTTCCAACTATGCTCCATTTCCTAAAGTTCCACCACCTGACAATAGCCCATATAAGTATGAATCCAGTCTGGAAAATCTGGTCAGAGCCCTTGTGACACAATCACCAGCCGAAGACCCCAGCTCCCAGCAGTGTTGCTCCAACACATGACATTTGAGGGTACGATTCAGATCCAAACCATGAGAGTTTTCACAGGGAGACCTCCCATAGCGAATTCTTGTCATGTCATGAGAAAGCAGTGATTAATAACAGCAAAGGTTCGAAAGTAGATCTGTCAGATCCTGTTTCACACTCATAGAGGGGTCTTTACACAAATTTTCATTACGAAGTTATTTAAAATTCAGTAATTCACTCACCAAATATAGCTTGTTTTTGTAGATTACTGTTAAAATCAAATTAATTGAATTTAATTCTGTTAAAATTTTAACTGGGGCCAGGCATTTAGCTCAGTGGTTTCGCCGCCGGCTGCGCAACTGCAAGGACCTGAGTTCGATCCCCTGTACCAAAGAAAAACAAAATTTTAACTCAATTTTCTTATAAAAGTAAAATTCATTTGACATTGTGGTATTTAAATTCAATTGAAATTTACATAATTTATCTTTTAATTTTTTATTAGTACATGCTTGTGATATATAATGAATACGTTTGTCATGGATAATTGGTACATATACACATCACATCTTAATCTCTTTTACTTTTCCTTCCTCCTCCCTCCTTCTCCTTTCCTTCCATCCCTATATCCCCTTCTCATCTGCAAAAGTTCTGCCTCTCTGTTTCCTATCATCTCTTTTATTTTTTATTTTAAATTACTTACACTTTGGGTTTCTCATATAAGAGAAACCATGCAATATTCAACTTGTATCTGATGTATTTCACTTAGCATTATGGATTTTGGATCATTAGCAAGGTGAATTTTCCTATTCATGACTCAAATTTATCCTTTTTATGCCTGAGTAATACTCCATTGTGTATACACACCAAATTTCATTTATCTATTCATGGGTTGATGGACAGATAGACCATATCCAAGAATTATCTAGAAACATGGTGTTATAGAATTAGGTATAAACATGGGTCTGCATGTATGACTGTAATATGTTTTTAACTCTTTGGTAAAGATCCTCAGAAGGGCTGTATCTAGGTAAAATGGAATTTCTATTTTTAGTTTTTTGAGGAATTTTCATACTGATTTCCACAGTGGTTGTACTAGTTTATATTCCCACCAACAGTGTAGAAGAGGTTCTTTTTCCCCACAACCATCCCAGCATTTGCAGTATTTTCAGTTTGTGATGATAGCCATTCTTTGTGGAGTAAGATGGAATCTCAGTGTTTTTTTAATTTGCACTTCTCCAGTAGCCAAAGATGCTAAACATTTTTTCATTTACTGGTCATTTGTATTTATTGGTCATTCTTCTTCTGAGAAGTGTCTGTACATTTTAATAGTCCATTTTTTTTTGACTGGATCGTTTATTTTGAGAGGTCTAATTTCTTTTCTTTCTTTTTATTTTTTTGAGACAGAGTCTTGCTATGTAGTTTAGGCAGGCCTTGAGCTCACTGTGTAGCTCAGGCTGGCCTCAAAGTTGCACTTGTCTCCAGAATGCTGAGATTACAGGTGTGCCATCCAGCTTTTAGTTCTTTATGTAGTCTAGATATTAGTCCTCAGTCCAAGGAGTAGCTGGCAAAACATTTTTCTATTGTGTAGGTTGTCTCTTCACTCTGTTGGTTTTTTCCTTTGTTGTGCAGAAGCATTTTAATATATTTAAATTTGTCCCTATTTGTTGAGTCTTGGTGTTATTTCTTGTGCAATTGGAATTCTATTCAAAGAGTTCTTGCCTATGCCTATGTCTTCAAGAGTTTTACCTATATTATCTTTCAGCAGATTCAGTATTTGTGTGGGGATTTTTGGTACTGAGGATCAAACTTGGGACCTTGTGCTTGCAAGGCAGGTGGCGGAACCACTGAGCTAAATCCCTGGCCCAATATTTATATTTTAATATTTAGGATTTTGACTCATTTTTATTTTTATTTTAGTACAAGGTGAGAGATATGGTTCTAGGTTCATTTTTCTGCATGTAGATAACCAATTTCTCCAGCAACATTTGTTAAAGAGTCATTTTTCCAGCATATGCTTTTGGCCCATTTGTCAAAGATCAGATGGCTAAATGTGCCTGGAGTTGTTTTTATAACCTCTGTTCTGTTCCCTTGATCCACTGAACTGCATGTCTGTTTTTGTGCCAGTATCATGCTGTTTTTATCATTGTAATTTTGTAATATAGCTTGAAATCTACATTTGTGATGCCTCTTGCTTTGCTCTTATTGCCAAGGATTGTTTTTGCTATTCTGCATCTCTTCAGCTTCTATATAAATTTTAGAGTTTTTTTCTAGTACTGTGAGGAATGCTATTAGTATTTTGATTGCAATAGGCAATATGGCTATTTTTTTTTTTTTTTTTTTGGTACCGGGGATCAAACTCGTGTCCTTGCACTTGTGAGGCAGGCAGTGGAACCACTGAGCTAAATCCCCAGCCCAGCAATATGGCTATTTTGATGATATTGGTTCTGCATATTCAGGAACAGAGGGTATCATTCCATTTTTTTATGTTCTCTTCAATCTCCTTTTCAGATTACTATAGTTTTTTACTTCCTTGTTTAGTTTAATGCGTAAGGATTTAATTTTTTGAATCTACTGTGAAAAGAATTGCTTTCCTAATTCCTTTCTCAGTTGGTTGATTGTTAGTGTACAGGAATGTATTGAGTTTTGTGTGTTTATTTACTTTGTATTCTTGTACTTTGCTAAATTTGTTTATTAGGCGTAAGAGTCTTTCTGTGGAGTTTTCTTTATGGGGAAGGTATACTGTGGAGAAGATCATGTCATCTGTGAATAAGGGTAGTTTGACTTCTTCATTTCCTGTATGTATCGCTTTTATTTCTTTTTCTTCCCAGATAACTATGACTACATTTTTGATTACTATATTTAATGGGAGTGGTGAAAGTGGACACCCTTGTAGTGTTCTTGCTAGTAGAGAAAAAGCTTTAAGTTTTTCCCCATTTAGTGTGATGTTGACAGTGGATTTGTCGTAAACATCTTGTCAGTTTGAGATTTGTTCCTTCCATACATATTTTCATTAGAATTTTATCATGAATGGATGTTGCATCTTGTCAATGACTTTTTCTCCATCTATTTAGATGATTATGTGATTTTTGTCCTTGCTTCTGTTTATGACGTATTGGACTTGTTGCTTTGTGTATATTGAGACAAGGTTATGTATACTGAACCTTGCATCCCCGGCATGAAGCCAACTCAGTCATGCTGTATGATCTTTTTAATGGTTTGTTGCATTCAGTTTGCCAGTATCTTGTTAAGGACTTTTGCATCCCTGTTTATGAAGGAGATTGGATTGGGTTTCTTCCTTTTCTCTTTCTTTCTTTTTTTCTCTCTCTTTTCCCTTCCTTCCTTCCTTCCTTCCTTCTTTTCCTTCCTTCCTTTTTTCTTGTCCTTATCAGGTTTTGACAACAAGGTCACATTAGCTTGCAAGAATGAGTTTGGCAGCAGTCTTTCCCTTTCAATTTCATTGGAGGTTTTTGGGGTTTTTTTGGTACTGGGGATCGAACTTGGGTCCTTGTGCTTGCGCAGCAGGCGGCGAGACCACTGAGCTAAATCCCCGGCCCCCTCATTGGAGGTTTTAAGGAGTAATGGTGTTTGATTGTCCCTGAAGTTGTGGTATAATTCTTCAGTTGGTTTTTCTTTATTGGTAGAATTTTTATTACTGCCTCTATTTCAGTGCCTATTATGAGTCTATTTGGAGTTTTTATATCTTCTTGCTTTAATTTTGGTAATTCATACATGTCTAGAAATTTATCCATTTCTTCTAGGTTCTTCAGTTTACAGGAATATAAATTTTTGTAGTAGTTTCATATAATCCTGTGGATTTCAGCACTGTTAATTGTAACTTGTCCTTTTTATTTCTAATTGCCTTGATATGGATTTTTCTTTCAT